AAATACTGATTAGGGAAAGCATCTAATAACATAGAGAATTGATTGTACAATGTTAAAAAAGACACAAATATGAGTAAAGAAACTTTACTTTTCATCACACAAATTCCTGTGAGAGGGCGTATACTGAAATAGTAACTGCAGTTGATTTTTGTTGGCAGGCTTCATTTCTTTCAACATAAAATTTTATTACGACTTCCAGGGAAGAGAGGAGCTCAGGCCACTGGGTCCTAGCTTTAAGTCAGTGCAGACCAGCTTCTCAGTGCACTCATCCACCTGCCTCAGTTTCTGACAAGGATGCTTGCCTCACTGCTGATGGCTTTCAACTACTACAGAGTTATTCCTGCTACTGGAGTGAATCTGTTTCTCCAGGTATCCTCCCCTGTCCTCATTGGTCCTAACTCTGCCCTCTGCCTCAATGGTTAATGTTCTTGGCTGTAGGCTTTACTGAGCTTCTTCTTGGACACAGGAAGATAAGTGCCTGTTTTGGGAGCCCCCAGATTCTCCTTGTGTGATCACACTGAGCCTCCAAACAAAGTCAGAACAAAGTTTCATCTTTCCTCTTAGACAGTGTTCCTCAAGCTTTGAAAATTCTGCTACAGTTGCTTTGGTCTTTAGTTTACGACCATTATCTCTATTAGAGTATAATGCTCCCTTCTTCCCACTCAAACCTTAGAAAAGCTAAAGCCTCCATTTATTTCCATCAAATAAATTACAGCTGACCCTTGTACAACACAGGTTTGAACTGCACGGGTTCACTTATACATAGGGTTTTATAAAAAAAATAATTACATTTTTTTTTAGAAAGAGGGAAGGGAGGGAGAAAGAGAGGGAGAGAAACATGGATATGAGAGAGAAACATCAATCAGTTGCCTCTTGTATACACCCTGACTGGGGACTGAACCCGCAACCCAGGCATGTGTCCTGACTGGGTATACGTAGGTTTTTAAAAAATAAATATATAGTTTTCTTTCTGTATCCCAGGTTTTGTATCCACAAATTCAACCAACTGTGGATGCAGAGGGCCAACTATATGCATCATTCTATGCCTTTTTATATAAGGGACTTGAGCATCCTTGGATTTTCATATGGGGGTGGTCCTGGAACCAATCTCCCTCAGGTACTGAGGGATGATTCTAAAGATTTGAGGGAGTGAAAAGTTATATGTGGATTTACAACTGAGAAGGCGTAGGCTCCCTTAATCCCACATGGTTCAGGTTAACTATAGTGTGAATTGGTTTCAGATTACTTCCTGATACTGGGTTTTGATGGGAATAGAATTAAAACAAACGAGGATGTGATGGGGAGGAGAATTTGAGGAAAGGGCACAGGAAGAGGAGAATGGGTGATGTACTTTATAGTTTATAGAGGGTTGGCAGCTAGCAACCTCCCTTAGCTATTGCCAAGATGTTGGATTATTCCAGCCACAGCTAAGCACTTTCAGAGAGTGGAGTGTGGATTCTGTAGGTTTTGAGGGTTCTGCACTCATTGAATTCTCATATTTTCTTTCAGAGACCTTAAGAAAATACATATTCTAATACTGACCTTTATTTTTCTGGAGCAATCAGGTTAGTATCAATTCAAGTGATGAATGCTCTGAGTCCACAACAGTATTTTTCCTGATACTAATGTCTTTGTTTCTCTCATTGCACTTTGCCCCGTCCTTCCTATCTTTCTTAGCTTTACTAAGTGGGTAGTGCACAACAGGGACCATTTTCTTGGGGTAAAAAACCCCCAAAAGCAATAAAACAAAATGCAAACCAACAAGTAAAATAAATCCACAGACTTTAGGAAGATTCAGGGTATAATCTTATAAATAGTTGCAGTAGAAGGACATTCTTGCAAGGCCTGACAAAAACTGGTAATGACTTCTGATGAGCAGAGTCCCCATCACCATTGTCTTACATTTGAAGAGAGGAAAGGTTCTACTGCCAATGCCTTTTAATGCCTATCCAGTGTATGATCACCACGTGGGATTCAGAGAGAAAGATGGGCAAGGTCAGTGAGATAAGAAAGCATTATGTCAAAATTCTGGATAGATTTTTAGATTTTACTAAAGTACATGTAGAGTTGTAATACCTACTTTCCAATAATTCCCTTAACTCTCAGTCTTCTTTATTCCCAGCAGGAAATGTTAAATCCACGAAGATGCTCAGGAGAAAGTCTCCCAGTCTCTGTCTTTGAGCAGGTGTTATATGTGATTGATGGATCACAGTATGGGAATGTCTAAGAAGCTGATTCTCATGCCCTGCCCTGGAGGATGCTTCCTGGGTAGTTGGCAGTTGAGACCTACATCTGTTGTGAACTGGCCCAAAGCCAGTAGCTTTTGTTCTCTGAATTGGAAAGGAACTCCAATGTGAGGTGTTAGGGGTACAGGGAACCACAGGATGTGGACATTCTGGGTCTCTGGTGTCTTATAAGAAAGATGCATCTGTTGGATGAGGCAGCTGGTGAGAAAACTGAGTCAGCAGGGGACACGAGCAGTCTCCCAGCACTCAGGTCCCATCTGCCCCACCGCTTTCTACCTCTGTCTTAGAACATGGGCTTTTCCAGCTTTATTAGCCAATCTGTGTAGTCAGGTCTGACTACTGGGATCAGAGTGAGGTTGTAAACAATGCCGAACTAGGAGATCCTTCCTCCAGATGTGATGGAGACTAGATGGCTTGTAGTGTGGAAGCCAAAAAGCATGGCAGAACCATCCTAATCCCTCCTGGCAAGAGCTTTATTTGCACTCATAGTTGAGTTGATTAGTGTGTGTAGGATAAAGCCTCAGTTTTTATCACTGAACTCTTTACACGCAGAAACAATGTATAGGAATTGGTAGAAATACAGGGTCTGGCACAAATAATGCTCCTTTTTAATTACAAAATCATAAGCATATAGTGCTGTAACATAACCATATCACACTCAAGCACACTACATGACTATTTAGGTGAAATGTTCAAATTGCTGTCCATCTCATGTGAGACATTCATATACCTCACCAATCACACTCTAGCATGCCTTACTTCTGCTGGACCCTGTATATCCAGGTAGAAATACAGTGTGATTAGAGACCTGTTTAATCAAAGCTCTTGGGGTCTGTGTTAGAGATAGAAAAAGATTTTCCTCTGGAGTCAGATTCACTTACTTTACCTTGAGCCTCTAGACTAACCCAAGATTATGCTGACTTGCTCCAGGTTATTTTTGAGTAGACTTGGTCTGCCATATATACATGGTAGAGTGAGGTGTGGTATTAGGGGAACAAAAGTAGACCAGAGTTTTGGAGTCCTCTGAGGTGACAATGTTCCCTTCTTCCATCGAAGGTGTATGATCTGGACAGCTCCCGTTAGCATCACAGTACCAGTGCACTCAAACCTTTGCCCAGGAGCTTCGTAGGCTTCGTCTATCCCATCGAGTCCAAGTTCAATTTGGAGCCTTTACAGGAGTGATATGTAAATAGCCCAACCTTTTCCAATGGCAAATATAGTGGCGAAGTAGCTGGATCTGGGTTTAGGTAGAAACTTCTGAGTAGGGCACCTTCAAGAGCCGTAACATCAATGGAGTTCAGATGCAGTTCTAAAATGCTGCTCTGGGGACAGATCTCTGAGAAAAATGCCCCCCAATGGCACAAGGTGGTGTTGACTTCCAGACCTGCATGTGTCATGTGTCGGGTAGGACAGAGAAGCAAAAACAAATGTAGGAAGGGATCTGTTTTACATCATTTCCCTGTTGAGATGCAAAAGGTTTGGGAACGATCATTGCTGGAGGGTTTAGGGCTCTGGTGAGGGAGGCTGGGAGGAAGCACAGGGAGTTAAGAAGTTTGTAGAGTATCAACACACTGTGGATAGATTTCAAAGAAGAAAGTGTAATTTTATAAAGTGGAGGCAGAGGAGTCAAGGTTAGAGAAAGATATTTAGAAATAAATGCTGCAGCAGACACTAAGAGAATGATTGGATATAGAACTGTAACATTGAGAACAGTTTTATGATGTTATACTATCCTAAGATAGCCCAATCTTGAGCTTTTTGCTCCCAATGGCTGCCTGGGATAACAAAGAAATGGAAGAGGAAATCTCTCCTTAGAGGAAGAAATTAAAAAATTTAACTTGTACATTGATCTTGTAACAGTAATGAGAATGCATAGGCAATCCCATTGGGAGTTACCTTCAAAAGGAAATACTAGAAAACACAAATAAACCAGAGCATTTACAGAAAAAAAGGAAAATCCATGCTTAATCAATGGTCAGACTTAACACAGCTTAGAACATATAATTTTCTATCAGAATACTGATAATAACATTTTAGTGAACTTGGGTCTGGATGCCTTGTGTTGGGTAACAATGGCAGCTGCTGTTTTGCCTGAGTTCAGTCAGGAGACACAGGGAACAATTAGTCTGATCCCTGATACTGTTGTTTAGCAGAGCCTTTGGCTCAGAAACACATTGAGATGTCTTGTGTTTTTCATGTTTTGTTTTTGGTTTTTGAATGTTGTGCAGAGCTGCTGTTATACCGGAGGACCTTGCCTTTTTCACCCTGTGTATGTGTGATGTGTATGTATGTCACTGTTTGGTGACACTGAAGACTTATTTGTAAGCTTTGCTTAGGACCTAATTAACATCAGTACCTCAGGTAGCTTGCAAAGCTGGCTTCTGAGGCTCTAATATAGGAATATAGACTTTCTGGTCTTTTTCTCTCTCTCCACAAATATAACCAGATAATCCTCTGTCTGGGACTTGGGAGCCATGTTATTTTTTGTGAAAACATTCTAAAGAGTTGTTTTAGAAAGCCTAGGAAGGTGTAAGACTAACGACAAGCCACAGCCTGAAGCTCAGGCTGCTGACTTGAGCACAGATGGGAGAATGTTAACAGCCAAGAAATATGAGGTCTTTGGCTCCTTTCCCAGAACTGCCAGGCTAAGACCTTGGCAGAGATTCAACAGGAAACTGAACTCTATTTGCATATCCTTTTATACATGGGAGATTAAAAGCTTCAACCTTGAGTGATCACAGTTTTTGAGAATCACAATGAGGCATTAAGGAGGAGGAGTGTCCCAAGGGAGATGAGCTGGAGTTGAATCAAGGTAGGTGTGAGGTTAGCAATGACTTTCAATTCCCTTTGATTAATCATGAGTGTATTTCATTTAGTTAGTTCTTTTTTAAATTTTATTCTTATTGGGTTAAAGCTAGGCAGGAATCTGTGCTTCCCAATTTTGGGAATCTGTCAAATTTGATCTCCTTTGTCCCACAACTACTTTCTTCTCATTCTTGCTGGACAGAGACCTACAGCTTGTCAGTGCTAAAGGAACCTTAGAGATCATCTAATATAAACTCTCTATTGTATAGATGAGAATCTGGGGTTCCAAGAGGGTAACTGATTTACCTAAAGTCACACAAAAAGAAATAAGAGTTTTGACTCCCAAACAATTTTTTTTTATTTAACAGGCTGCTAGCTCTTCTTAGCATGTGAAAGTTTCCTCAGATTTCAGATTGTTGCTTTCCAGCACGTGGTTTAGTGCAGATATTCTTATAATCTTCTCCCGTCAGAACATGCATTTCTGGCATAGAGGATCTCTGAGGACTGAAATGAGGCTATTTATCCTTGGGATTCATTTAGGGATTCATTCATTTTGTTTTCTTGGCCCAGTACCATAGTAAGAACTAATCCCGTGTAGACAGCACGGGATGAGTGAGGATGGACAAATGCCATGCCTCACAGGTTAGTAACTAAACTTTATAGCTTCCCTTTAAAAAAATGTGCCCCAGGTATGAAACAGTTCTGGCCACCAACACAGGCTTCAAGCTAGGATGAGCTAAGGACTGTACGTCTGCTTTGCCCCTGACTGATATAAGAGCAATACCACCACACAGGTGTCTTCTTACCCATTGCCAGAGGGTTGTAGCTTCCTTTTTAAGGATGGGGTAATATCTCCCTATTACTAAAAGGGTACATTAATTAAATGTATCCTGAGACTGGGGAGGTCCTGCAGGAGAGCATCCTCAAAGCTGGATAAACCTGAACTTTCTGAAAATTGAGACCCCCTAAGTCCAGCTATTATCTTTGACATCTGAAGCAAGTCTATTGGAAAAAGATTTGGGATAAAAAATTCATTCCCCTTGTTGCTTCTGGTAAAGCTGGGACTGGCCTGGACCACCTTCATCTGGTACAGACAAAGGGCAATAAAGACACAATATGTTATTGGGAACCAGATAATCACACTAATGAACTTGTCTTTGAGGCTTTCACTATCATTAGTGCAGGGAAATAATTTAGAGAGGTTGTCAGGCAAGAACATTCCTGTTGAGGTATTTTTATGAAAAATATACTGGTAGCAATTTGGATTTCTTGTATTGGAAAAATGGTTGTACTCATTGTCAATGTTCCCTCTCATTCAATATCTTTTATTCTTTTCTGGGTAACAACCACTCTCCTTCAGACCATTTAGAATGGAGGGAATGAAGTATTAGCATTATTGAGCACCTTTGGTGTACCATAACCCAGGTGTGCCAGGTTCTTTCTAATAGTGATTTCATTTAATCTTTGTAATGTCTCTGTGAAATAGGTATTATTGTCTCTGTTTTGTGGGTGAGGAAATAGAGGTTTAGAGAATTGGTAAGCAACCTTGTTCAGGTCCTCCATGAGTAAATGAAGAGCTGTGATTCTTACCCATTTTTGTCTGATTCCAGAGCCCATGTTCTTTTTACTACTAAAAGAACTCACATATAAAAACAAATTTATAGACCAAAATATATTTTTTAGACCAAAATTTTAAACTTGTTCATTTTAAGATCAGTGAAAGGACCTTGCCAGAGTCAAGGACACTTTTCAGATTATTGTTTTCAAATTCAATGCATATGAATACTTTTGTGACTGATTTAGCTTATTTACTTTTATATGTTAATTTACCCATCTGCACTATCTTGCCACCTATTTAAGAGAGAAGCATATACCTACTTCAGTTGTGCCATGAAACTTATTGTTAACACACTAAGGATGTTTTCATCCACCTGCAAATGTGGGAAGGATTATAGAAGGTAGTTATCTGGAACCTGGACAAAAACCCCACTCCTTTCTTTCAGTTCTGCATTACATGTTTTGGTTTTCGTTTCTTTCCTCCAATGTTCTAGAAGTCAAGGGCTAATAAAAACAACTGTGAAGGACGACTAGCACCACCCAAGGCCAGGAGTCAGTTAGACATTCTGACCACCTGGCATTCTTCAGAACAACCCCTCTGACCAACAGGGCTTCTGGAAGGGTCACTCAAGACTGCTTCCTCAGGGGCCTTCCTCACCTTTTGGCCCAACCAGATCTGGATGCAGTAAGTTGGAAGTTGAAAAAAACTGGGAAAATTCAAAGGGTCAGAGTGAAGAGGTTGTGTTTCACATGAGAATAAGAGTGTATTCGGGAGAGGAGGTCTGTGGGTGACAGGAGGAGAAGCTCTGGACATGATCTAGCCACCTGTGACACCAGTGTCAGATTTAGGCAGAGACCTGAGAATGTGGAACCAAGGCACACAGCCATTTCCTCTATAACCCACTGGGTCCAGTTTGCATTTATCTGTAATCAAATACTCAACTGATTCTGTCTGACTCAAAATGTTATATATACATTGCATACACACATGTGCACACACTCATGCACACACAATACATGTGTTTTATTGTGTATATACAACAGTCCTCCTTTACATGCAGTTGCCTTTCTGCATTTTCAGTCACCCTCAGTCAACTGTAGTCTGAAAATGTTAAATAGAAAATTACAGAAATAAACAATTCATAAATTTTAAATTGAAAATACAGCATAAAGAGTGTAGTCCCAAGTCTGAGCAGGGTGGGCGTGCAGGCCTGGGGTGGGGAGATCCAGCTGGAGAAAGATTGATGATTGTATATGCGGGTTCGCCTTTGTTCTGTCTGCCAGATGGGCTTCCCCTTCAGTTTCCCTGTGGGTCACTATGGTGAAAGCACCGTAATACTGGGCTGAGGCCTCCCGTTTTAGTCTGTTGATCTGTAAATACAACTGATTTTTGATCTTCCTGATGATAACAAATCTCCTCTCCATGGAAGATGGGTAATGCTTAACATCCTGGAAGGACTAATTTTGGAAACATGTTTACATGGTCTTTCGGAGCGTGGCTGTACCAGTTCATCCAGAGGAGCCCAAAATTATACCCAGAGGTGTTACAGGTGATCATATTAGGGAGTCCCTAGCATTTCTCATGCCCCCCGCCACACCCCCCCATAAATCCATTAGCTGATTCAGTGACTGGACCTCTGGTAAAGAGAAAGCATTGATAAGAATTGTAAGAAACCAATATTATAGTACCTCCAAAATGATGACTCCTGGATTATTACCATAAAGAAACAGCACAAGGAAGGTCAGCCCAGGCAGATAGCACAGGATGAAAAAATGTCACAAACACACAGTAGAGGCGATTGGTCTTTTGGATGCAAACTGTAAGGTTGGAATCAGGGGGACCCAAAAGGATGTAGTTCTGTCCTCTTTGCATAGCTTCCTTTTATGGAAGAGAGCCTACTGCAGTCAGAAAGGACTCTGAGAAGATACTGGATCCACTCTTTTACCCACAGATATGATTTTTAGAAAGCTTTAATAAGCTCCAGAAAAAGGAAGCTCTTAAGTTGTGTGGTGAAGCAGCTTTGGAGCGCACAGCCTGGACTTGTGTCACTCACCAGCACTATGACCCTGGGCACTGCCTTAACCTCTCTTTGCCTTGGTTTCTTCATCTGTATAATAGGGATAATTATTGCAATGGGTTTATGAAGATTAAACAAAGCAAAGCAGGTCACTACTTTGAACAGTGACTTGCATGTAGAAAAGTACCCCTGACTGTGGGCCATCATTTATTGTTATTAGCAACACCTCTTTATGGTTGTTGATGATTTCAAGTTTTCATTTTTAACTTCTTTTTGCTGAAACTTCAGCGTATTTTCTCTTTCTCTCAGCTCATATGTAACGGGATGACTGACCATAGTTACTGAGGGTGAGAGCTGGAAGGGCCCTCAGGCTGTATCAGTTCCACTTTCTTCACCTGATAAATGAGTATGGGGAGGTGACGTGATGAGCTCAAGTTCTCACAGGGCAGAACTTTGTTTTAAACGCAGGTCCCAGTGGGTTTCTTTTCTATTGTGTAATAACTGTTCACATGCCACAATTCAGCATTGCCTAATTTCTCCAAGACTTACTCAGGATACTGTGGAAACATACCAGGTGTGTGACCCTGTGGGAAGGACTGATCAGTGCTGAGTATAATGATATTGTCATTCTTATGATCTTCTAGCACCTCATTGGCTTTATTTATTTATTTTTTAATCCTAACCTGAGCATATTTTTAAGTGATTTTTAGAGAGGGGAGAAGAAAGAAGGGAGGAAGGGGGTGGAGAGAGAAAGGGGAGGGGGGAGAGAGAGAGAGAGAGAGAGAGAGAGAGAGAGAGAGAGAGAGATCAATTGGTTGCCTCTGTATGCTGCCTCCCAGACAGGGAATTGAAACTGCAACCTAGATATGTGTCCTGACCAGGAACTGAACCTACAAACTTTTGGTGTATTATCTCTGAGTGGAAGGCAGGCTTTGGCCATTGACCCACCCATTGTTCAGCAGAGACAATCAGGGGCACTGCCATGGGGACAAAGGGCAGGGAGTGAGGAGCAGGGTCCCTAATGAGTGAGGTTTCCTTAGGTTGAGATGAGAGGGGAGGATCAGCCTTTCTTCTTTCACTGGTAGCATGTACTGAGGACCTGCTGAGTGTGATGTTAGGCACTCATTGGAAAGCAAAAGAACCTAGGGAAGGGTTGAGATTGCAAGGAATTTATTTAGAAAGAGGTAGGCAGCAAAGACTGAGCTCTCTGGAGTTCTTCAGGGCTCTATACTCCCACAACACAGGGGAGGCTTCTTACTCTTCAAGCCACAAAGGCACTCATTATAAGGCACTCGGCTTGGCTGGAGTAGAAAGATTTTCCAGTTGACTGGAGGGGGAAAACAGCGCAGAAGGTGTGTGGGCTAGAAATACACAGCAATAGAGTGCTTCCCATGGCAACCAGATGTCAGGGAGTAGTGGAAAGAGTTCTTGA